GAATGTGGTAGAATTGTCACTTTTCCCCGTAGCCATGAAGGTTATGTTCTCAATGCCTATCCCATGAAAATTCATAATTTATAAAAGGAATACCTTATGAGCAAAAATGAATATAAAACTAAATATTTTACAGTCATGAAAATATATATTATCCCAAAAGCAAGTGTCAATGTCTTTATACTTCCTAAATGAAAAATCACAATTATAAAGAAATTATGAAAATAGATTCAATCACTGGTACATAGTATATATTCAGTAAACATTTATTTAGTGAATTTTTCATGGATTTTAATCAACCTTTGGCCATCCAAAGTCTTTTTAGGAAATTACTGATGTGTAGGTATTTGGGGTAATATTTATGTATTGCTATATTTGGAATCTTTTCTTTGTAAGATTTATTTATTTAATTGAAAGAATTACAGAGACAGCTCTTCCATCCGCTAGTCACTCCCTCAAATGGCTGCAATGACCCAGCTGAAGTAGGACAAAGACAGGAGCCAAGAGATTCTTCCGGGTCTCCCACGTGGGTACAGGGGCCCAAGGACTTGGACCATCTTCTCCTGCTTTCCTAGGCGCATGAGCAGGGAGCTGGATCAGAAGTGGAGCAGCCAGTACTTGAATTGGCACCCATATGGGATACTAGTGCTACAGGGCACATATAACCAGCTGCACCACAGCACCGGCCCCTGTCTGGAATTTTGGGGAGAATAGTGTTTTCTTAAAGAAATGGGAGGGGACCGGCGCCTTGCTCACTTGGTTAATCCTCTGCCTGAGGCGCCAGCATCCCATATGGGCACTGGGTTCTAGTCCCGGCTGTTCCTCTTCCAGTCCAGCTCTCTGCTGTGGCCCAGGAGTGCAGTGGAGGATGGCCCAAGTGCTTGGGCCCTGCACCCGCATGGGAGACCAGGAGGAAGCACCTGGCTCCTGGCTTCGGATTGGCACAGAGCTCCGGCCATAGGGGCCATTTTGGGGGCTGAACCAACGGAAGGAAGGCCTTTCTCTCTGTCTCTCCCTCTCACTGTAACTCTACCTCTCAAATAAATAAATAAAAATCTTAAAAAAAAAAAAAAATGGGAGAATCTTAAGGGTAAAATAAGCTCTGAGAAAGCTCTAGAATGAAGTGAATGTGACTGAAATTTTTTTGTTTTTTGTTTTTCTGATAGATAGGGCTCTTACCCACTGGCTTACTCACCAACTGGGTAGCCCAGAGCCAGGAGTCAGGAACTGGGAATGCAGTCCAGGTCTCCCACCTGGGTGGCAGGAACCCAAGCACTTTATTCCATCGCTGCTGCCACCCACCTTAAAAAAAAAAGTTATTCTGCCATTTATTTGAGAGAAACAGCCCTTCCATCTGCTGATGATGCCTCAGATGCCTGCAGTAGCCTTAGGCCAGGCTGGAGGCAAAACCTGAAGCCAGAATCCCAGAGCAGCTCTTGCATATGAGTGGCAGGAACCCAGTCACTTGAACCATCCCTGCTGCTTCCCAGGAACGACGCTAGCAGGAAGCTGGTGACAGGAGCCAGGGCATCAGACAGGTATCAAATACATACCCCACACCAGCGCCGTGGCTCACTAGGCTAATCCTCTGCCTGCGGTGCCAGCACCCCGAGTTCTAGTCCTGGTTGGGGTGCCGGATTCTGTCCCGGTTGCTCCTCTTTCGGTCCAGCTCTCTGCTGTGGCCCAGGAAGGCAGTGGAGGATGGCCCAAGTGCTTGGGCCCTGCACCTGCATGGGAGACCAGGAGAAGCACCTGGCTCCTGGCTTCGGATCAGCGCGCCGGCCTTAACAGCCACTTAGGGGGTGAACCAATGGAAGGAAGACTCTTCTCTCTCTCTCTCTCTCTCTCTCTCTCTCTCTCTCTCTCTCTCTCTCTCTCTAACTCTGCCTGTCAAAACAAAAACAAAAAACACGCACCCCAAAATGGGATACAGGTTGTTTAACTGCTAGGCCAAATTTCCACCCTAGTTTTTGTTTTCAGAGACAGAAAGAGACTGAATTTTTAATCCTTGGAGTGAGACGGTCTGTACATTTTCACTTCTTGAAACAGAGAAAGGAAAGGCCCTTGACTTTCTGCTGCCCTCCGCCGTGTTCTCACACTCAGACGTCTGCTCCTGCTGTTTCTGGCGGTTGCCAGCCTGCGAGGTGTCTGCCTAGTCATCCCACGTGGCCCCAAACCCAGTAAGTGCTCTGTCCCTCAGCCGTCCTCATTCTTCGTATCTGTGCTGTCCCCTGTTGTAGTTCCTAAAGCTGGAAGCTGCCTCCGCTGCCGTTGCTTTAGCTCAGCTCGTCAGTGTATTTCCCTGGTTTTTTTCCAGTAGTGTTCTGGACTCTTGCCCCACAGGGCCGCCTTTCACACGTGTGCATCATCTTTGTGGGGCCAGGGCAGTGCCGTCGCCCTGGGACTGGGGTCTGAGGAGCACATGCTAGTCCCCGCCCTTGGCCTTGGTAATTCACACGCACTGACTTCCCTTACTCCTCACAACCGCCCTTACTAGTGTTGTACCCAAAACGTCCGATTCCCACCAATTTAAGACCACCAGGAGCCGACACTGATGCAAACACAAGAGTTTTATTTCAAACTTGAGGCTGGTCCGACATGCGTACCAGGCACAGCTGGGCTGGACCGGCGGCCCCGACAGTAAGGTCGTTAGGGTTTTTATGCAGTTGAACATACAAGTCCGGCTATACAGTATCTGATAGGCTCCTGTTCTAAATTCATACTTGTCCTATAATTGGCTACTATTCGAGCGAGTAAGCAGTTTTTTTTTTTTTCTTTCTGTTCTAAGTTCAGCATAGGGTCTGTTCTTCCTGGCAAGTACTTAGCCAGTGAGTTCAGCACAGGGTTAGGGTTCTTGGTATTATCTTACACAAGCATCCCATAGGCCTTGCCACCTGGTCTTTATCTTGTTGGCAGGGCCATCCAGTCTTTTGAACCAGTTCTGGGATTTGAAGAAAATGGTAAGGGGAGGCTTGTTACTGTAAGATGCTAATTTTCAACATGACTGAGTTGAACTCCTTCACTAGCTCTGTTTTGTAAGTGAGGCAGCAAGCAGAGAGGTGGAGTAACCTCAGGTTCACACGCCGGGACCCTGGGAGTTAAGCCTGCCGCTGAGCACTCGGCGCTGTTGACGCAGGCCCTGGGTCAGTAAGGTGTCTGGGGCTTCCGAGAAGAAGCTAACCTCCTGGGCTGTGGGGACGCGTGTGGGGAAGGCGGCAGCCAGCTTCCCCAAGGGACAAGAGAAATGCAGCGTGTCCCAACACAGTGTGGCACGCAGAAAGCCGTCCTCGGGCCAAGCCCATCCTCATGCCCATGCAGCCTGTTAGGTTTGGAATAGCTCGGGATTCTGGCCTTTCGTACCCCCAGAAAGGAGAGATGGGAAAAGGTTGACAGAGACCAACCTCAACAGAGACAGGTTGCTTTATTGAAGCAAAGAGGTTAGCGACAGTCTCCGAAGACACTGCCAGCAAAGCACAATTAGGGCTGAGGTTTCACCTGGTGAAGGAGGGCGTTTGCCGCTGGGAAGAGGCTTTGCAGCTGGTGGAAAGTAGGGAGTAAGGGGCCCTTTGAAACCGCTTCCCAGCGGTTTTTCCCGTCCGTGTTTCAGAAGCTGCCCTGTGCAGCTCATCGATTTTACTAGCTGTTTTTGCTAGGCGTCTAGGACGGGTGGCGCCTGGTTCCGCACCAAGGGTCTCAATTAGAAGGGAGGCAATGGTGTGGGGTAACATGCCCTTTGCAGCCCCCTTATCCAGGGAGGACAGGCGGGTTGGCCGCCCGTGGAGGAACACGGTCTCGGCGGCGGACCAACGAAGCACCTTCGAGAGGAGGCGTCGAGATGAACCCGCTCCCGCCTTCCTAGAGAGGAGACCCCGGCGGTTCCAGCTGCGGCGCAAGTTGGTGACGACACCCGGCGCGCCGGCGGCTGGATCCCGCGGCCTGCGGGGGCCCGGGAGCTGCTGGTGAGCGGTTTCGGTTGGCCTGGGCAGTCGTGTCCTCGGTGGGACCCGGGCGCCGCCGGTCGCAGCACAGCTTCCCTCCGGGAGAGCCTTCGCGCAGAGGCGGGAGCTGTGGGCAGGCGCGGTGGGAGAGCCCGGCCGGGCGTCCGGGGCCTTGGGTTCCGTCTGTGCCCACGCGAGTCGCCAACTCGAGAGCGCCTCGGGTTTCTGTTTCCAGAGGCAAATACTGGTCCTTCTCTTCCCAACTCGCAAAGATGTGCAGGTTACCGCCTTCCGTTCATTGAGGATTCCAGTCTAACGGCAGGGAAACACCCAGAGCTGCTCATTTAACAGCAGATACTGTTATTATTTACCAGCCGGCACGCTTGTGAATCCTCACCATTTACTAACTCATCTGTTCGGCACCACTGCTTCTGTGAAGCAGTTACTGTTGTCCTCATCGCCACTGAACGGCTGAAAACCCGCGAGCACAGAGCGGTCAAATGATTTGCCCGAGACGTTGGAGAACGGTGGCGCAGGCGCTCAGACCCCGGGAGCCCCCGCCCTGTAGCCCGTGTCCCACTTGCCTTCTAGTTGAGAAGGAAGGCTGTAACGAGCCTTAGAGCAGCAGCTGCTGTGCAGTGAGCACGCAGAGCGGAAGTGCCTTGGAGGAGTCGTGTTCTGTGAAGAAGGCACGCGATTCACGTTAGAGCTGATGTTCAAGTGTGACCAGAGTGTCAGATAAGAGGGGCTGGGGCCTGGCATCCATCCTCTCTGCTGGGGGCGCACTGCTCTCTAGGAGGGACTTTGGAGGTTGTCTGGCAGGCTCCTCTGTCTGTACACATTCTGCATCACACACTGGTCGTCCTCCACTATTTTTTTTTTTTGCCGGGTACAAGACATTTTAATACAAAAGGGAATGATCAGCATTCTACATTGCACTCTCTTCAGGAAATGCAGGACCAAGGACTCCTTCATCTGTCCGCGACGGCTCAGCACTGCAGGCTGAAACCACTTATAGGAAACAGCTCGACCTTCAGATGAAGTCGACTGCCACTGCGGTAGCATTCAAGGTTTCTCGGATGTGAGTACAGAGTCAAAAGCAGTGGATAAAACTTTGCAGATGGCTTGTGCTTGTTCCAGGCTGTTGCACTGATAGACCCACAGGCTGAACTCTTCGTTGCTTGCATCCGTGGTCTTCAGGGCCAGCAGGCTCCTCCCGGCGCCCAGGCCGTCGTCGTAGCACACCATGCGGATGATCAGGTACAGGGCGTGCCTGTGCAGGACGTCATACTGATCTGACGTTGACACTTTGATTCCGTACTTAGAAACTCCCATAATAAATTCTTCCTCCAGGGGAACAAAAGGCAACTTTCCATCTTGCTGGGCAACATCTATGTAGTTTATCAGGTCTAGGGGTCCCTCGAGGCTTTTCCCCTCAGAGAATTTCAGCTTTTCAATGGCACCAACATATTTGATTCGAAATTCTGCACAGGTGTCTAGATTACTGTTGCTCTGTCCCGAGCTCTTGGTGGAGTCTGTGTAGAGGCTGGCCACAGTGCTGGACCGAGAAAGGCCCCCAAGGCTGGAATCCACAGACTTGCTCTTGGTACTGATCTCACTGCTTTGGGAACTGCTGCTGCTGTGCCGTTTTTTGCCTTTCCGGAACATTCTTCAGCATGGTGTGGTCCGGAGCCGCTCCCCGCAGGGTCTGTCTGCGGTTCAGGTTTCGTACTGGTAGGGCAAAGAACAGAACATAGCTCTCAGAAACATGCGTTCTCCTGCAAGTCTTGAAATACCTCGCGGCCGCGGGCCTGGCCCTGGGGACGCCGGCCCTCCGGGCGAGTCCGAGGTTACTCCAGTTCTAATTCCGGCGCCGGCTTTTCCAAGCCTCCTCACCCGTCCTCCACTATTTCCTAGACGTTTTTCTATCTGGTCGGTGGGAGGAAAACTCATGGGGGAAGCCCATTCTTAACCAGCACTAATCACCACCGCGTGGTCAGTGCTTTTCAAATGCCCGAGTAAACAGCTGCAACCACCTATGTACCGGAAGGGCTTGATTTGAGCTGTCTGCCCTTTTCTGGTCTGTTTTTTTGAATCCAGGGCTCATAGAATGTTGGTATAGAAGAAGCTGTAGGGCCGGCGCTGCGGCTTGCTTGGTTAATCCTCTGCCTGTGGTGCCGGCATCCCATATGGGCACTGGATTCTGTCCCGGTTGCTCCTCTTCCAGGCCAGCTCTCTGCTGTGGCCCGGGAGTGCAGTGGAGGATGGCCCAGGTTCTTGGGCCCTGCACCCGCATGGGAGACCAGGAGAAGCACCTGGCTCCTGGCTTCGGATCAGCGCAGTGCCGGCTGTAGCGGCCATTTGGGGGCTGAACCAACAGAAGGAAGACCTTTCCCTCTGTCTCTCTCTCACTCTGCCTGTCAGGAAAAAAAAAAAAGTAGATACTGTCTGTCTTTTCACTTTTATCTCGCAGATCAGAAAACAAATTGCAGATGAGAGTGAGCAACCTGCCTCAGGCCGCTGAGCAAGTTAGCGGTGGCACCGAGGCTGGAATGCGGACTCCTCCGCTCAGCCTGCCGCGTGCCCCTCCGCCCCGTGTTGTAGCGCACACTTTGAGTTTGCAGTCCGTGGCTTGCTCAGCAGGCTTGGGGAGCCATTTTTGTCCCCAGGATATTGAGTCCTTAGGCATGTTTGCTCCTTGTGCGCTGTCACATCTCTGAATTCTGCCCACTCACCGACCTCTGTGAATGATGATACTTTGTAGGATAATAACGAAACTCTCTCATCTAGACGTAAAATAGCTGTTTGGCTAGGGAAGGGCGGGACTTGGGTTCCTGAGTCCAGACTGTGAAGGGAGCAGGCTGTGTAATTTGAGTGGCTCTTCTTCCTTCCCCAGTGCCTCCGACTCCTGCCTTTCCTCTAAAGAGCCCCAGGAGACAAAGCAGTGTCGCTTGTGATCCTAACAGCTTATTTCTGGGTAAGTGGACTCCAACTAGACAGCTCAGAATGGGTCGTCATTCAGAAGTAGCAGCAGATACAGTAGGTCCTACCAATGGCTGCTACCTCTGGACCCAGCAAACTGTAAACACAGAACCACTAGTATATAGGGACCATTTTACTCAAACCAGTGACAGTAGCCCACTGTGGAAGAGGGCTGTGGGTGCCTGGCAATAGGACAGATCTGAGAGTACACCCATGTCTTACAACTCTTAAGTAGCAAGAGTAGTTGTCACCCCTGTAGTCACCTAGTGGCACATCTTGAGACCACTTCCTGAACTAAGTGTAATAACCTAATGATGTAGTGATCAGACCTGAGAAAAGTCAGAGAAAATTGTTTTTTTTTTTTTTTTTTGGACAGGCAGAGTGGACAGTGAGAGAGAGAGACAGAGAGAAAGGTTTTCCTTTTGCTGTTGGTTCACCCTCCAATGGCCACTGCGGCTGGCGCGCCGCACTGATCCGATGGCAGGAGCCAGGTACTTCTCCTGGTCTCCCATTGGGTGCAGGGCCCAAGTACTCGGGCCATCCTTCACTGCACTCCCTGGCCACAGCAGAGAGCTGTCCTGGAAGAGGGGCAACCAGGACAGAATCCGGCGCCCCGACTGCGACTAGAACCCGCTGTGCCGGCGCTGCAAGGCGGAGGATTAGCCTAGTGAGCCATGGCGCTGGCCCAGAGAAATTTAATAAGTGAAACTGATGGGAAATCACCCATTGCAAAGGTGATTGTCTCCTTGGAGCAAGGAACACTTTTATTTCCTTGGAGCTCCACATTTGGAGCAAGAGTGAAAGTCATTTTGAAACTGCCATTGTGTTTGGCAACATAGAACCCGGGTTTCTGTCAAACTCAGTAAAAATTGTCCCGGGTGAACTGGGCTCTTAGGTTCTGGGCGCTGTGTGAACAGATCATGACCGTGCTCTGATGAATTTGGTACCGTCTGATATCCGTTAGAACCTGTGGTCTCGGAGCACCGTGTGTCCGTGTGCGTGTGCGTGTGCGTGTGTGTGCGTTGGGAGATGCCCAGAAGGATGTTCAGCAAAATACCAGAGCTCTTTCCTGTGAGTGGTGGGATTTCATGGGACTTTCTTTTCAGACTGACTAATAGAACGAACACGCGTTCTCTGTATGATTTTTAAAATTGTTTTATTTGTGGAGGGTAAGAGAAGAGAAAACTGGTTAGAGTTTTGGTTTTACATTTAGGTGTTTAAACCATCTGGAGTTTGTTTCAATATATATTATATCCATATTGGAAGTGAATTATGCAGACAGAGATACAAAGGTTCAGGCAAGATATTCCGTTTCTCTAACAACCAGTGTAGCATTGGCACTGCCTGTCAGATCAGTCTCTGGCAGTAAACCATTTGTGCTGATACACCAGTGTGAACCAGTGTGAACCAGCTGACTCTCAGCCCCCATAAACCCACACGTGATGACGTGAAATGATCTCTAAGATATGTTCTTTAGTGGAGAAAAAAAGCAAACTGCAGAGCAGAACCTAGAAACAGTTTTATTTTTATTTTTATTTATATTTACAACTAAAGGCTAAATGTGTTAGAAGAATATGTGGGAAAAAGGATGAAAGAATTATTCTAAATGTAACGATAATATCTGAGGAAAGGTATGGGTTTATTAGAGTGACATGATGGGTATAAAAGTGAAGCATTTAATCCTGTATACTTCTACAGTGTCTAAGTACTTAAGAATGAGGATATATTCAGGTGTAACTTACTTGATTAGAAAGCTAACATAAAAACTGGCTCCAAGGAAGGGTGTTGGGGTGCAGTGGGTAAGTCGGTCAGGTCACCACTTGTGCGTCCCTTGTCAGCGTGCCTGGTTTAAGTCCCCAGACCCCAAGCTTCCAGTCTAGCTCCTGCTCCTTGCTCATGTGCCTGGAAGGCAACGAATGATGGTCAGAGTACCTGGTTCCTGCTACTCAGATGGGAGGACCGCGTGGAGTTCCTGGATCTTGGCTGCAGTCTGGCCTAGCCCCAGCTGTGCAGCATTTGGAGCGTGAATCAGCAGATGAGGCTCTCTTTGTCTCTCCCTGTAAGAATCGGGGCTCAGAGAATTAAATGGGTCAGGATCTCCAGCACCGTTCAGCGAAGAGCTTCCCCTGAGCAGGCACCTGAATATCCATTCTCCGATGCCATGCGCCATCTTAGTCAAGACATGAGTTTCAGATTTTGATGCTATTATAATCATCTAAGTGTTTTTTTTTTTTTTTTTCTCCAGTTGGAGTGTCCTGATGACAACAATTTGGTACCTATTCAGTTTTTCTATAGTGGAGACTATTAATCAGCTGGACATTGAGCATAAATTTTTTCATTACAGATTAAAGTGACTTTGTTTTCTACATCATTCCCCTCCTAAGCTTGATTAGACATTTCAGATTCCGAAGCACACGTTCAGCTGCAAAGGGCAGGGCCCAGTCCTGGACCTGGTGCTACTCAGGTCACTGCCAATGGATGCTGCCCTGAAGAACACCTTCCTCTCACTCTTCTGAAACAAAGCAGTGACAGCTCCATTTCTATGAGCAAACAGGACTCTAGTTTTCAAAACTACGTATGTCCCTATAGATTGGATCTTGGGAGTCGGGGCTGGAGGGAGCTATAGGTGTTGAAAGTTTTGGAGAGAAACAGGTGCACAGAGCTCCCCCATCAAGGCCAATGAGTAAGGGAGAACTTGTGAGATGGGCCTATGGGAGATGAAAGTGAATCACCTTTGGGGTCTTAGGATGGAAACCCTTTAGTTACCACTAGTCTGCCGAAATACTGCTAACACGCAACCAAAGAAAATAGAATTACAATTCAGTTACTTTTAGAGGAGCAGAGGAACACTAAACTTCCTCTGAAACTTAACTTACTCAAATCCAGGACACTTACTTCTTTTACAGTTTACTGTTTTTACTGTTTATCACTAGAGATGCAAGTCTGGATGACCTGGATTCACCTTCAGCACTGGTTGTTCCACAATCAGTTGTAACGAGGGATTTTATAGAATTTCTAACACCTGTCACCACTAAATCTTTCTTCAGAGACTGTTCCCCAGGGGCTCACTTTTGGAGGAGGTGAAGGTGCATGCTGAAGAAGGAAGAGGAGGGGCAGTCCTGCGGAATGACTGACACGACAGCACGTGAAGGGCACGGGCACAGGCACCGTGTTCCCCGGGAGGAAGTGTTACTCCAGGGATGATCATGTTTAGGGAAATTGGGTGTGCGTATGACTTGGAGAGGTCTCATCTAAGTCACAGAAGTCTCTCCAGTGTGTGACAGGCAGTGTGAGTTGCAGCTGGTGGCACTGCGAATCAAACACCCAGAGCAGCACACAGAAGCAGCCTCCCGAGGGCAGTGCATGCAGAAATCCTTCACTCGGGGGCCATCTCTTACTCAGCGTCAGAGCTCCCACATGGAGAGAGCCTGCGTGTGTGCTCACCGTGCAACTTGTTTCCGTAAACAATAGGTCTCACTCAGCATCGGAGAATTCATCCGGGAGAGAAACCTGACAGGTGTCATGAGTGTGGGAAGCCTCTCAAAGCAAAGCAGTCCTCAACCAGCATCTGAGACTTCATACTGGAGAAAAGCCCTATAAATGCAAGGCATGTGGTGAGGCCTCTGTCAGAGCCCATCCCTTACTAAACACCAGTGAACTCGTACTGGGGAGAAACCCTACAAATGCACAAAATGTGACAAAGCCTTCAGTCAAGGCATATGCCTCCCTCGCCATCAGAGAAGTCACTCTGGAGATAGACCTCATGGGTGCAACGAGTGTGGGAAAGCTTAAATCAGAGCGTCTGCCCCTCCCAGCACCAGATAATCCATTCGGAGAGAAGCCCTACCTGTGCACTGAATGAGGGAGAGCCTTCACTCAGAACTCGCCTTGTTGAACATGAGTGAACTCACACTGGTGAGAAACTGTGACAGTGTAGTGAATGTGGACAGACTTTTGCAAGCAGGCTTACCTTCGTGAGCATTGCAGGATTCACACTGCAGAGAAACCTTATGAGTGTGCTGATTGTGGCAAAGCCCCTAGGCACCGTTCAGCCCTGTGTGGCAGCAGAGGCTCCATGCTGCCAGGGTAACTAGCATGGGAAGGTCTGTAGGAGACTTACTCCCCGCTGCAGCCTCGGGGGTAAGACTCAGCCTGCAGCTGGGATGCAGACATTGTATTTTAAACAAACAGCACTGTGCCCACATGTTTAGAACCAGCTGGTCCAGTTTCATGCCCTCTCTTCCTCTTACTGGGAGTGAGTGTGTCCTGTCTGCGCCTCATTTCCCTCGAAGGATAATGAAGACACTTCTTGGGGTTATGCTGAGAATAAATGGGTTGGATTTGACACTTTATTGCTATTAGTTGGTTTATAGATATTCTAAAGTCTAACACAAAGACATCTTTAAAAATACATCTGTCCTATCTGCAGGTGAATTTTAAAGTATACCTGGTTCTATCTGGTTTTAGGTGGAAGTTGAGCACTGATAGTTTAAAAAAACATAAAACGTCCTTTACCAGAATATTACATTCAACCTTAATATGAGAAATAGGTGAGGTCTCTTCTTTACTGGATTTCCATCCAAAATCAGAAGAGGTGGCAAAAATGTGGGGCGCCAGAAGCTCTTACACACCTCTGCTGTAGCATCCAATCCAGAGTGTAGAAGGTTGGCTTTCTGCAGTAGACTACGAACTCTGGGTCAGTATAGCGCCAGGGCCAGAGCTGAGATGAGCATGTGCTCAGTGTGTACTCTCTGTAAGGGCATATTTAGGGTAAATCAGTTGGGAGAGGGACTGGCGGTCTAGAAACCTACAAGAAAAGTCAGTGTAGGGTTTCCTCAGACTTTCTCAGGTTTGGCAGTCAAAGTCTGACTTCCAGGTTAGTTCTGTAAGAGCCAGATGGTTGGTCATCCTATATCAGCAAGACGTGGCTTCAGTGTCCACTTAGCTGGTCTTAACCACTTTAAGTTTATAAAATCAGAAGACAGGAGCCAGTCCATTGCTGCAGCCTTTCCATGGGCGGTGTGGATGCCTGTGTCCTCTTGGGGCTCTCCTAAGCTCACAGACCCTCTGACGTATGCGCAGGAGCCTGTCTGCTGCTTTCATCTCCCTCCGACAAGTGAGTCTCAACATGTCCTTCGCTGGGAGCAGTCCAAGGTCGGGCAGGTCCCATCAGTTGGGTATCTGTCTGGTGATAGCTCTTACTGGGTGCAATAGCTTGAATATTAGTGTGGGTGTCCCCCAAAGGCCTACACATTGAAAGCGTGATTCCCCTAGTCTTCTGTTAATGGACTAAGGGTGTGGACTGAAGTGGGCCCAGTGGGAAGTCTTTAGGTCACTGGGGGTGTGCCATCAGAGTTGATTATATAAGCCTGAGCCAGGCCCAGCTGCTCTCTGCTTCCTGATCCTTCCTCTGAATGCATTCTGCCATTGCTGTCTAACCCTGTCATCAGACCAGACAGATGGCAGCTAGCTCATCTTGGAATGTGACCCTCCAAACCATGAACCAAAATAAACTGTTTTCATAAGTAGCTTCTGAGGGATTTGCTCTGGTAATGAAAAGCCAGTAATGCAGCATCCTTGCAGCCCACCTGCTTCAAGTACCTATTCCTTTGCTTGAAAGCAGTGTGAGCCCAGAGGCCTGTCCACTCTCTCGTACCAAACTCACCTCACTTAGTAAAATAGATCCTGCAGCCAACAGGACTCACTGTTCTTGGAAAGCAGTTTCCTAAATGATGCTCAGCACATCTCACATCCCACCACATTGTGGTCTTGGCCTTTCATTGTAAGACTTGTTTCCTCATGGATAGCTCTTACAGTTACATTGTTAGAAATAGCGCCTGCAGGAAAGGCTTCATCGGTACGATGTATTTCAAGATGTAAGTTTTGAATACAATGTTTTTCATAATGTCTGAATTTTTCATTTTATTGCAGTTCCAGTAGTCTTTACTAAAGGGTCTCAAACTTGAACAAACATCATCACCACCTGCAGACTTGCTAGAGATTGCTGAGCTGGGCCCAGTCCTCAGTAGGCAGGTTCATGAATATGTGTTTGAGGTTCCCAGAGGGTTCTGAAGCTGCCGGTCCAGAGTGCACACTTTGAGAACTGCTGGTCTGTAAAAGGGAATTTAGAGAACACACTCTCATCCATTCTAACTGTGTTTATTATGTTTAATATACCAGCTACTGTTGTGGGTCCTGAAGGTGGACATGGTGATGAATAAGACAATGTCCATGCCTTCAAGATTGCCATCTCCAGACAGAGACATAACAATTTACAGTAATTAAAGCACTATAATTTGACAAGAATGGATGTAGCAATGACCCAGATGGGGCAAGGAGGACCTCTGGCTTACATAACAAGTGAGCATACATTAAAGACAGTATTGCAGCATGATTTCAGGATGGTGTGATTTACATGGACTCTGGACCCACATGCAGCACATTTTTTTTTTTTTTTTAAAGATTTTATTTATTTGAGAGGTAGAGTTACAGAAAGAAAGAAGGAGAGAAAGAAGGGTCTTCCATCTGCTGGTTCACTCCCCAAATAGCCCCAATGGCCGGAGGTGGGCCAATCTGAAGCCAGGAGCTAGGAGCTTCTTCCGGGTCTCCCATGTAGATGCAGGGGCTCAAGGACTTGGGCCATCTGCTGCTGCTTTCCAAGGCCATAGCAGAGAGCTGGATCAGAAGAGGAGCAGCTGGGACACGAACCAGTGGCCATGGATGCTGGCGCTGCAGGTGGAGGTTTAGCCTACTACACCATGGCGCTGGCCTGACGTGTACCACTTTTGAGTATTCTTTACATCAGGTACCTAAAGTAGAGAGATGGGGGCACTAAATTCATGATAGGATGCTCTGAGACTTAACTTCAGATGGATGTAGCCAGTGAAGGATGGGATCATAACAAGCCTCCAGTTTCGGTTGATTATTAATGAGAATTGTTAGGATTAATCAGGGTCTTGAGGAATCATAAGGAATGGCTCAGGCTTTATAAGGCTTCCCTCCCTTCTTTACCCCAAAACCCCAATCCTGCATTCTGATGTCTTTCAAATAGATGAGGAATAGATATGGTTCTAGGACAATTGATGATTTGAGGAAAAATAATTCTAAGTGGAATAAAGTTTAAAATGTAAAAAAAAAAAAAAAAAAAAAATGTATTCTTTATTTGACAAAGTGGCTGGGAGCCAGAACAAAAGATTGATAGATTACATAAGTTACAAATTAGTAAGAAAATAAGGACTATGATGGTAGAAAATGAACAAGAAGTTAATTGAAAAAAGAAATATAATGGAGCTGGTGCTGTGGCATAGCAGGTAAAGCTGCTGCCTGCAGTGCTGGCATCCCATATGGGTGCTGGTTTGAGTCCTGGCTGCTCCACTTCTAATCCAGCTCTCTGCCATGGCCTGGGAAAGCAGTGGAAGATGGCCCAAGCCCTTGGGCCCCTACACCCTCTTGGGAGACCCAGAAGAGGGTCCTGGCTCCTGGTTTTGGCCTGTCCCAGTCCAGTCACTGCAGCCATTTGGGGAGTGAACCAGTGGGTGGAAGACCTCTCTTTCTCTCTCTCTGCCTTTCAAATAAATAAATAAATAAATCTTAAAAAAGAAACATAAAATGGTGTATTAATGTATGAAAGAGTTTAGTCTCTCCTGGTAGATCATAGTTTAACTATGTGAAATGCTACTCTCAATTTATCCAATTCACAAAACTTAAGGGCCTGGTACCAAAAAGGCTAGTGCACTACTAACATGGATAAGAAGTGGGCTCTTACAGATAGTGCATAAGATAGTAACAGCAAAATTCTCTGAAAGCAATAAGGGAATAAATATCAACAGCTATACAAATATTTAAATTTGACCCAGTAGTTTAACTTCTAGCAATTCACTCTAAGGAAATCATTAGAAATACCCACGTCTCTACTCCAGACAGGATGGAGACCAAGGGAAAGGCTCAGGCCTGCCAGGTCAGTCCTGTGTGTACACCCCCAGAAGCTTTATAAAGCAGAGTCACACAGCCCACTTGGTATGAGTTGGGGGAGGTCTTTTTAACCAGGCACATAATCATCTCCCAACCCACAATGGAGCTCCACTAATGAGGAGCATACAATAGGGAAGCTGTCAATGAAATTCTCTAACTATTAATGTCAGGGTTTTGAAATTTACTGACATGACAAAATGTAATTTTTAATATACATTTTTAAAGATGTACTTATTCGAAAGAGTTACAAAGAGAGAGGGAGATACAGAGATCTTCCATCCACTGGTTCACTCCCTAGTTGGCCATAACGACCAGGACAAGGCCAGGCCGAAGCCAGGAACCAGGAGCTTTATCCACGTCTTCTACAAGGTGGCAGGGGCCCAAACACTCAGGCCATCTTCTGCTGCTTTTCCCAGGCCTTCAGCAGAGAGCTAGATCAGAGTGGAGCAGCTGGAACAGGATCCCACATCCATCTGGGATGCTGGCGTCACAGGCGGTGCACCACTTTACCTGCTATGCCACAACGCCAGCCCCTTGAATTTACATTTTGAAAATGCTCACAATGTAATGTTAAATGAGAAGTAGGATAGAGAATGTTCATAACACAACATTAATTATGTTTCAAAAATATAATTTACATATAAACACACCCACATATGGGGAATAACAAAACATTAATAGGAGTTAACTTCTGCAGAGCTGGCATTTCCAGGCAGAGGTGTATTAATGGATGGACTTAGTTTTCATTTTACTAGTTTTTCCTGTATTTTCTAGAATGAACATATAGTATCTTTGTAATAGGAGAAAGTTATCTGAAAAGCACCTCATACTTTCAAAGGAGTCTGAGCTCAAAATGTTTACTCATCTTCATCTTCATTGCCAAAAGAAAGGAGGCTGCTGTTTTTTATTTGCTTCTGTGAGTTCTTTTTAACTGAGTCCTGCTTATTGACTTCATCTTCATTTGTCTTCTTCTTTTTTGAGCTTGCTGTTAAACCTGAGTATTTTTCATCTGAGGGACGCTTAACTGGTTTTCGATACATAATTTTCCCATCGGCTGGAGGTGGTTCTTCATCTGAGCAAAAAACAAAGTAAAAAATACTTCTTGTCTCTATTTCAGAGTCAAATAGCAATAAAATCCCCTACTGTACGGAAAGATGTCCTTGAGTCCGTTCAGGCTGATTCTGTCTGCCTCTAGCTACCTGCCCGTAGACACACAGTCACTCAACACAAACTCACTGAAGTATTCCATAACACTGCCAGCTCTGTACAAATGGGTTCTAACGACAGCATTTTCCCCTGATGCAGTATAATAAATGTTTAGGAATAATGAAAAATATACCATACAGCATACCACACTTTAAGCACAAATTAAATAGACTTTTGTTGACTGATTCATAAACCTCACTACATTTTTTTAGAAACAGGATGCTGGGGCAGGTGTTTGGCACAGTAGTTAAGATGCTGCTTGGGATACCCACATCCCATATCCAAGTACCTGGGTATGTGTACCGGCTCTACTTCTGGTTCTGGCTACATGCTAATGTACACCGCAGGAGGCAGCGAGTAATGACCCATGTACGTGGGTCCCTGCCACCCATGTGGGAGACTCAGAGTCAGCTTCTGCTTCCAGTCTGGCTCAGCGCTGGCTGTTGCAGGCACTGGAGGAGTGAACTAGCAGATGGAAGATCTATGTGTGTGCATGTGTCAACCTTTCAAATAAAGTTTAAAAAATAATAAAATAAAAATAGGATTTTACTTAAATTCACTTAATCTTCATAACCTAATAAGGTAAGTACAGTTATTGTCCCCCTTTTTCTGATGAGAGAGGAAATAACTTGTTCAAATTTACACGTCTGGTAACTTAAAAAGCCAAGCCTTGAATCACAGACTGTCCCTCTCAAATGTTCCACACTATTAGATCAACTACAACAATTTCACATTCCTGGTTTCTGAACTTGTTTAACAAAAGAAAAAAAGATTCCTTTCAGACAAACCTGCTTTGGCAGCCTTTATTTCCGCTTTAATCTTCATGACTTCTTCAGCTGACAGGTGTCCCTTTTTTAAAACCACCACTTGGGGCTGTTCATCTTCTTTGTCACTGTGCTCATCATCTTCCTCAGGGAGCTGTGGCTGGATTCTCTGGGGGAAAATACAGAGACAGTGTGCAGGAAGCCTAACATAACCACACTGGGTACAGGTCTACCTGGCAGCACTCTGGGGAGCCTGTGCAGAATTCATTTCATCTGAGCAGGGCCCCTGTGTGGCCTCACTAGTGTCAGGCCCTCCACTTTGGGCACCGTGGTCTTTCCTCGCCTGCTCAGGGCAGCACCACGCCACGTTGGTTCTCTTCGCTCCTCATCACTCTTCACCTCCCTCTATTTGAAAGTTAGACAGAAAATGTAACCACCATCAGAATACAAAAAGCAGCTGGTAAAAGATAACCTTCCTCCCTTCTCCCTCCTGCCAGTTTCAGCTGGGAGATTTCCTTCTGCTGTGTTCCAGGTGTGTGTAAGGGGCATCTTCAAAGAGTTCATGGAAAATATGTCTTCTGGAAAAAAGTATGCATGGAATTTAAAGATTTTTGCACAAAACTAAACGTGTGCTAAGTTGTTACAGCATGTCTGAACAGGATCCAGTTTGAGGCATCTGTTTGAAAAGACACCTGTCAACAATATGAGTCCACCAAAAGTGAAGCAAGAACAAACATCCAGTCTATGTTGGAGCTTGGATAGAACAATGCTGAAATCACTGATGCTTTACAGAAAGTTTATGGGGATAAAACCCCCAAGAAATCAGCTGACAAATGGGTACGTTGTTTGCAGAAAATGACGAGATCATGTGGAAAATGAAGCCCACAGTGGCAGACCACCCACATCAGTCTGCAGGGAAAAAATGACCTTGTTTGTGCCTTAATGGAAAGGAGCATGATTAATAGCAGAGTAACCTGCTATGGACATTTCAAGTGGCTCAGCATGAACAAAATTCTGACTTAAATAAATAAAAGTGGAGCCAACTTTTCTACTCAATGGGTGCGAAAAACTATTGTATTCAAAGTGAAGGCAACAGGTTTTTGGATGCTCAAGGCATTCTGCTTATTGACTTTCTGGAAGGTCAAAAAGTGATAATATCTGCATATTGTAAGAATGTTTTGAGAAAGTTAAAGCTTTAATATTAAAAACACACAGGAAAGCTTCCTTAAAATGTCCTCTACTACAATGCTCCTTATTCCTCCTATCAACAAAGGGCATTCACTTTAGTCTTGATTTGGTTCATTCTGATTTTTTTTTTTAAGATTTATTTGTTTATTTGAAAGAGTTACACAGAAAAGGAGAGGCAGAGAGAGAGAGAGAGAGGGAGGTCTTTCATCCACTGGTTCACTCTCCAATTGGCTGCAATGGCCAGAGCTGCGCCCATCCGAAGCCAGGAGCCAGGAATTTCTTCTGGGTCTCCCACGTGGGTGCAGGGGCCCAAGGACATGGGCCATCTTCCACAGCTTTCCCAGGCCATTGCAGAGAGCTGGATCAGAAGTGGACCAGCTGGAACTCAAAACCACCACCTATATGGGAGGCTGGCACGCAGGCAGCGGCCTTACCTGCTACACCACAGTGCCAGCCCCCTCCATCATTTCTACATAGAGCCCATGACTCATCTCCATCTCTACCTGCTGACCTGTGTTCAAGACTCAACCTAATGAGCCTTCTGTGAGGCTTCATCTGATCACAAGCACAGTCATCCCACCCAGCACAGCTGCTCAGTGCCCACGTCTTGTGTTGTCAGGGTCCTGGGACACAGATAAGATGCTGAGAGACGGCAGGCACCGTGGCGCAGTGGAGTAAGCCACTATCTATAATGCTGGCATCCCATAAGAGCATTGGTGTGAGTCCCGGCTGCTTGACCTCCAATCCAGCTCCCTGCTAATGTGCCTGGGAAGGCAGCAGAAGGTATCCCAAGTGCTTGGGCTCCTGCCAGCATGTGGGAGACCCGATGGAGTTCCAGGCTCCAAGCTTAGTTACAGCCATTTTGGGAGTAAACCAACAGAACTCTTTGCCACTCCTTCTCTCTGTAACTCTGGCTTTCAAATAAGTAAATCTTTAAGAAAAACAACAGATGCTTGGAGAGTTTGGTCTAGCGGTGGATACGTACAAGAGAAGAACAAGTAGCTGCAATAAAAAATGAGCATTATATATGAGATATGGGTAAGGCAGAGGAGGAGTCACTGTTGCAGGAGCTTTGAAGGGCTGCGGCGAGGCAGTGACCTGTGAAAGCAGATGCGACAGGAAAGGCATTCTGAGGATCCATCTCTTCAAGTCTGGCACAGGCCCGTTGTACTGCATAACTGCAAGTCGGTCTTGTCTCTGTCAGTGAGTTCAAACTGAACTGAAGGCAGCGGATTTTAGCAAGTACCAACCGCTCCTCCACACAGCCTCTAAACATACTAGTCTGTTCCTAATGCGGGCAGGTCTTGGTGTGAACCCGTCCCAGTGGAAGCCTGTGGAGGCCCAGAACTTGATTTCCACGGGGTTCCCATCCCATCAATCCTAACCTAGTCAGCTGCGGTTCTTTCTGAAGTTTCTTCTATTCAGGCCAGGATATTTAAGGCTTTTACCTACTCTTATTTTTTAACTCTTTTTTTTTTGTGCGTGACAACAAAGCATTCCAAAAAGAGATCCAGGACCGTCCTCCAAAGGGGTCCCAGAGTCCTGTCTTAGGACGTAGGGGCGTTTGATTGAGTGGCCTCCGTTCATCTGGAAACAGGGCGGCGTTGTCTCGCGCCCGTCTAGCTCACATTGAGGTCCGCAACTGAGAGAAGAGACAGGAAAGTGATCTTTCTCAACCATCTCTCGAAGTCGAAGCGCTTTACCTGCGTCAGGTCATTCTTAAGAACAGCGTTCCTGGGGCAAGAGGATGTAGCTGTTCGAGGAGGCCCAGCCTGGGTCGGAGGTCCACCCGAGGAGGGGGCCGGGTGCGGAGGAGAGGAGCGAGCTATGGGCACTGGCCTCCCGGGTAAGGCAGAGGCCGGCAGGGGCGGGCGGCCGGGCGGCCGGGCGGCCGGGGCTCACCTTGGTCTCTACCGTAGGTCCTTCCTGGTAGCCGATCCGCTCCTTGAAGCGGGACAGGAACGCCGGCTCGGCCGGCCTCACGTAGGACACCTGGTTCCGCTTGCTCATGGTAGCTGTAGGGAAACACCAGTCCCCAGGGCCGACGCGCGACGGGGCAGAGGCGACGGCGCGCACATTTGACGTCCCTCAGGCCACGCCCCCGAGGCGGAGTCCGGCCCAGAGGGCGGCTGCCGAGCTGACGTCAACGTCCCGCCCAAGCGCCAAATTCAAACCCGCGGCCATCTTGAGCGGTCGGTATCCCGGCGCGCTGCGCGACTGGGAGGTGGGGTCCTGGGCCGCGGCCTCGGCATCGAGAGCTGAGGGTGCTATGGCGCCGGGCTGCAAAAGTAAGTCTGGAGCCCTGGCTTCGTGATCCCGTCCCCGCCCCCAAGCCCAGCCGTCAGCGCGCGCCCGCCGTCAGGGGTTCCCCGGAGGGGCGAAGGGTAGGAACTGTCCAAGCTCGCGCGGGCCTTTGGAATCTGTGGCCCTCAAAGACAATGGGGTCGCCCTCGTTTTTTCCTTCTGTGTACGGGGCGCGGTCTCATGCGCTCGGGCTGGCAGCGAGCAGAACCCGGAGTCGGCGCCCGGTGTCGCGCTCGTTCCGGCCGCTTTCTGCACGTCCCCGCCGGGTGGCCTGGCCTGGGGGCGGGCCCTTGCTCTCACGCCTTCTGCTCTTCGCCGAAGCGTTTGTGTGTCCCTACCGCTTCTTCGCCGGGTGGCTTGCCTCCGTAGATTGCAGCACTGTCTTCAGTGTCCCTTCACCCAGGGCGCGCCAGGCCCCGCTGGAGGAGAGCCACTGGCCCTCGTATCAGCACTGTGTGTGCTTCTGCACTTAATGGCTTAGTAGCCATCCTGGGGGCCAGGTCACTGTGCACACAGCACCGCATCCCGTGGTAATACGGTGTTTCCTCTTTGTACGTAACCTGGGATACAGTTTAACTTGTAAATTATGCACAGTGAGAGGTTAAGAACAGTAAAAAGGAGAAGAGGTATCACAATTTGCTGCAATCCAATTGCCATTGTCACTGCTCCTGGGCTTTGGGGTCATTATTAAGCAAAGTAAGCGTTGTTTGCACACAGCACAGTGGTCTCCGCACTGTGATCTGGCCCCCAGGATGACTGCTGGTGACTCAGATGCAGGGAGCACACAGCACTGATGCGCCGGCCAGGTGGCCCCCCTCCCCAGGCAGGTTCCTGGGAGACTGACACGCCTCTCAGAACAGAGCTCTCTGAACCTTGGGGATTGTGTGTGTCTGAAATTTCCTATTTATTGTCTCGGAAAGCAGAAGTTGGCTAAGAGGACACTGCTGTATATTCTCACAGTCTCTGGTTTCCCTTCAAGAAAAATCCATCGGATTTCTTCCCTTTTTTCCATAGAGGAGAGCACTGTCGTTTTTGCTTTTGATAGTCTCTTCACTAACTTTGGAGTCATTTGCCGTCTCTATGAAAGGGTGCAACTCTTCCCTTGTCTGGCTCCTCAAGGACACTTAGGGAGTAAAGCTGGTGGTGAACTGATCTTGTGGTAGCAGTGGAGAGAGAGGCCCGTGTTCGATGATTCTGAAGAAATTGTGAGCTTTCAGCATTTCAACTTCCCGGCGTCCTTACTGCCTGTAACTCGGTCAGTTGCCATTGTTTTCTGATGAGTCCGTTGCTTTATTAACTTTTCGGGTCAATCATGACGTTATCCAAACACCTGGTGGTACTCTCTTTGTCCATCTAAAATACTTCTTTTGCCCATTTTCAGTATTCAGATTGGAACTTCGCTGGCCAGACATGTTTATTCTGCTTTCTGCGCATTTGTAGTATTTGTTCTTTCCACCCTCTGCCGTAAGTTCAGTGAATGTGGGCTCAAGCAAGGGAACTAGTGCCAGTGCCGTAATTAGAGCACCTGCTTATTTAATGGAACGTGGTGTCTGTCCTGCCTATGAGCTGAACTCGAGCAGCTTTCTGAAAGTGATGGGACAGCGGGGATGCCCTGGGGAACTTGGCCATTCCCTGGAATTTGTTAGCAGAATTGAGGTTGACAACGGCCTAGGTTAAGTCACCTTCCCTGCAGTCCAGAAGCCTTCCGCATGAAGTGGGAGCCCAGGAAGGAGAGAGCAGTGTGCTCTGTGTGCCCGCAGGCCATCTCTAGTGACACCATTGACATCATGGGTTGCTGTCAACTCAGAAGTGAGAACGTGCAATATAACCCTTAAGCAACTGAGTTTAAGATTCTTTTTCTAAACTTAATCATATTTGGTCAAATGATTGATGAGTAAATATTTGTGCTGCAAAGTCAAGCATCGTAGGGCCATTTTAAAAGTGGGGGAAACTTAAAAATTCTCGTTTGTTGAGACATAACTTATACATAGTCAAGGGCAGGAACCTCAAGAGTACTGTTCAAGGCCGGCGCTGCGGCTCACTAGGCTAATCCTCCTCCTTCCGGCGCCAGCACACCGGGTTCTAGTCCTGGTTGGGGCACCAGATTCTGTCCTGGTTACCCCTCTTCCAGGCCAGCTCCCTGTTGTGGCCCGGGAGTGCAGTGGAGGATGGCCTAAGTGCTTGGGCCCTGCACCCGCATGGGAGACCTGGAGGAAGCACCTGGTTCCCCGCTTTGGATCAGCGTGGTGCGCCGGCCGCAGTGCGCCAGCCGTGGTGGCCATTGGAGGGTGAACCAACGGCAAAGGAAGACCTTTCTCTCTGTCTCTCTCTCTCTCGTTGTCCACTCTGCCTGTCAAATAATAATAATAATAATAAAAAGTACTGTTGAAGAGATTTTTGTGTGAGTACACTCATGTAACCACTACTAGATCAAGAAATGGAACTGTTCCTGTACCCACAAAGTCCCCTGTGCACCTCCTGCTCTATTGCCACACACACACACACACACCACTGCCTTGACTTTAGCACCACCGATTTGTCTGTTCTTGAACCTCTTACGAACGGTACAGAATGTATTCTTTCATCCTGGCTTCTTTTACTGGGGATGTGAGCGCTGTCGAACATAGCTGTGGTGAATTCTTTCTCGTTCCTGTGTAGTGTCCCAGTATGTGAGCACACCTCAGTTTGTTTAGTCTCATGTGAGTGGACGTTTGAATAAAGCCGCTGAAAATAGTCTCCACTTATTTTTAGGCAGACATACAGGAGGCATCGAAGTTTAAAGGCTTTCATGAATGTCTACAGAGGACTCCCTTTCAATGTTAAAATCTTAAGGTAGCCACATGATGGACTTCTATGCTCCCTTTAACCTTCGATCAGGAGGTGGCATAATAGGGCAGTGAAGGGTAGAAGATGCTTCCAGCATGTATGTGTGTACATCTTAACACTTCTCCAAGATATTCCCTCAGGTCCCAGTTAGAATCATGATAAACCTATCCAGGAGCCGGTGCTGTGGCACAGCGGTTTAAAGCCCTGGCCTGAAGCGCTGGCATCCCATATGGGCACCAGTTCTAGTCCTGGCTGCTCCTCTTCCAATTCAGCTCTCTGCTATGGCCTGTAGCAGTAGAAGATGGCCCAAGTCCTTGGGCCCCTGCACCCCTGTGGGAGACCCAGAAGAAGCTCCTGGCTCTTGGCTTCAGATCAGCACAGCTCCGACCGTTGCGGCCATCTGGGGAGTGAACCAACGGATGGAAGACCGACCTCTGTGTCTCTGCCTCTCTCTGTAACTCTGTCCTTCAAATAAATAAAATCTTTAAAAAAATAAAATAAAAACCTATCCACCTCTGTAATTTAAAATTTTTGAATTTATTTTCATTTGTTATTTGAGGGAAAAAAAGTTCTGCTGGTTCACTCCCCAAATGTGTGTAGTAGCAGGGCTGGGCCAGGCCAAAGCCAAGAGCCAGGAACTCCATGTAGGTGTCAGAGACCCAATACTGGAACCATCCCCGTACCGTTCCAGGGTGTACACTAGCAGAAAGCTGGGACAGAAGCAGAACCAGGACTCCGACCAGGCACTTTGAGGGGGGATGCAGGGGTCCCGAGTGGTACCTTAACCACTGTGCCCAACACCCGCCCTTATGTAATTTTTAAACTCACTTTTTGTCACTATTACCTAATTAGCTTTGCTTCTTTTTTAAGTAAACATTTTATTTGGAATGCTGGAATTGCAGAGAAGTTGAACACGTATGCAGATCAGTATCCATCCAATACAGAGAGTTCTGCAGAGACAGAGCTTCCTCCCTTTGTGAACCTCTCATCTAGTTTTTCACCCTGCCGACTCCGGACTGTTTATCCTCAAATCACCCTTGTTACCAAGCTGTTCTGCACTGCTCCGCCTGCACTACATCTAGAAACTCCAGGTAGCTAAATTGGAAGCAGTCTGAGGCTCATGGCCTCTTTCCTATCTCTGAGGTCACTCTGCTGTGCTGTCTGTTGTCCAGTGCTGCATTGTGGGTTCTGATTAATTCTCTGGAGCAGAGCACAGAAGTGAGTAGGCGTTTCCTTGCTGTTTGCTGGTTTGCTCTAAGAACCTTACAGAAGATGAAGAGGCAGGGCATGAGCGAGAGGGGGTGGAGCCTCCACGCGCTGTCTGCATCTGCCAGCCTCCAGGAACCTCCACGTGCTTGGCTGTCTGGAAGCTCTTCCAGCCCTGGCCGGGTTTCTGTGCAAGCTCCATGACAGGGCCGTCGCTGTCCATCAGCCTACCCTTGGGCCTCCTTCCTTTCTAATCTTGCCGTTTCCTTTCAGGTGGCCGGCCCTACCCTGAAGCTGCCTTAGGAGCTGCCAGCCGTTAGTCAGCTAATACTTGTATACCAGGGAGAGGAGCTGAAGACCAGATGTATATATATTTCTTTTATTACAGTATGTTTCTGGGTCTTGGATAACTGTATTAATCATTTGGGGAACCGCCAGGCTCTTTTTTTTTTTTTTTTTCTTTTCTTTAAATTTATTTGAAAGGCAGAGTTACAGAGAAGCAGAGAGAGAGAAGTCTTCCCTCCACTGGTTGACTCCCCAGATGGCTGCTGCAATGGCCGGAGCCTCACTGATCCAAAGCCAGGAGTCAGGAGCTTCTTCCAGGTCTCCCACGAGGGTGCAGGGGCCCAAGGACTTGGGCCGTCCTCAACTGCTTTCCCAGGCCATAGCAGAGAGCACAGTCGGAAGTGGAGCAGCTGGGACTTGAACCGGCATCTGTATTGGATGCCAGCAGTGCAGGTGGTGG